ACCTGTCCGAAGTGTAGTTCGTTTTATTTTTCTATTTAATTTTTGGGTAGGGGCATTTGCGGGGTTTCCTATTTCTTTTCTTTTGTTTTAATTTTTTTCGTTGGGGCAACTCACTGCGGCTCACGCTGAGTTTGTGCGCCGTGTCCGCCGTTGTGTCGCTGCGTGTCTCCGCGTCTTGTTTTCCCCCCGCCGCCGGCTGTGCCGCCGACACGCCCCCATTTCCTCCTCCTCCTCCTTCCCGCTAGAGGCAACTTTAGTTTGCGGCGACGACGGCTCTTTTTTTGTTCTCCGCTGCGGCAGACTGTGCGGCGGGCTTTGGACCCGCCCCGTCCCTCTCGCCGCGTGCTTTGTTGGGTGTGCGCCGTGCGGCCGGCTTCTCCTCCGCGTGTCTTTCGCCCTCGCAGGACGGGGGCGTCGCGCACTTCGCCTGCGCCGTGCCGCCTGCTGCGGCGTGTGTGCGCGGCTGTCTTTTGCGCCTCGCCCCCACACCTCTCTGCGTGTGCGTGTGAAGGGAGTGCGGCCGCGAGGGGTTCGTCCGTCGCCGTCACGGAGGCGCGACAGTCGCGCTGCGCCAAAAAAACAAAGGCCGCGCGACGCCTGCGGGAGGCAGCGTCACTTCGCACGGCGTCCCGCATGATGCGTGCGCCCTGCGGCTGCGGCGGCTGCACGGGCGGGGCGCGTGGCTGCCGGAGGACTCGGGGGAAGTGGCGGTCGCCGGCACGGCGCTCGTGCACGTGCTGCGCAGCGGCAGTGCGCCTGCGGGCGCTTCGGTGGGGGAGGGGGCGGCTGCCGTCGGTGACGTTTTTTCGGTGCGGCGGCCGCGGGTGAGTGCCGCGTGGGGCTGCGTGGCGTCCGGCGAGAGTCCCGCGGGGGGAGGGGAGTTCGCGGGGTCGGGGAGCAAACGACGTGGGCGCTGCGAAGGGGGGCGCGGGAGGGGCGGGGTGGGGGCCGCCGGCACGTCCACTTCGGCCGTGTGTGTGTGTGTGGCGGGAGGGAAAAAAGGTCCCTTGAGCCGCGCTGCTGGCTAGCGAGAGGGCACGTGCGGGGGAAAGTGCACAAAACCGTCTTCTGCCGTTGTTGCTGTTTTTTTCCTCTTAACTGGACGGCAATGCCTCGACCATTCTTTCTCTGTTTGCGTGTGTGTTGGTTGAATGCACCCATTCCGCGGGCTGCTCATATTTGTGTATGTGTTTGCCCCTTTTTTCTCTATTTCTGCCCCTCGCTGTGTGTGTGTGTGTGCGGCGGTGGGAGGAGTGTGGCGATGGCTGGCCGTGCGCTGCTGTTGATGTGCGTCCTCTGCGCGTTGTGCTGCGCCGCCGGCGGGGGCTGGGCGGCGGAGGGGGACTACTGCACGGAGCGCGACTGGAGGGACTTGCGGGCCGTCGCGAAGGACATGAGCGACGCGGAAATTGCGGCGAAGTACTGCGGCCGCAAGCCGGAGTTTGTGCGTGGGCTGCGGGCGAGTCTGCAGGGCGATGGGGCGGAGGAAGGGGCGGTGTCTGGCCACGGCGGAGGGAGCGACGGTGCTCCGAGGGGAGAAGTGTCCGGGCACTCAGGGGAGCTGAGAGGCGCAGACGACTCGCAGTCGCCATCAGGCGAAAAGGCGGCAGCGGCACCGTCGCCGGAATTAAAACCAGTCGCCCGGCAGTCGGGTGCCTCTCCGGACGGGCCAAGCGACGCTGAGACTCCTCCGGAGCAACCAAAGTCACAGGACAGTCTGCAGGGGCCACCACAGACAGTGCCTCCGACAGGGCTCGACCAAAGAACGGAAGAAGAGGGAAAAGACAACACAGACTCGCACACGCGTGGAGAAGAAGATCCGCCCAAGAGTGCCAGCGTCCCAGCAAAACAAGACGTGGACAACGCGCACATAACGGCGAAGGCATCAGGTGGAAATGGCCAAGCAGCAAGCGAAATCGTTCCCCCTCAAACTCCCGATGTTGCTGCAGTGGCGTCGCTACCAGCATCCGACAACTCCGCCGGGACTTCGACAGACGGCAGAGGAGGAGCATCACATGAAAGACTTCCGGAGGCAGTGTCGACACTACCAACGCCGCCAACGCCAACTGAAGGGCAAGTGGAAGCAGGGAAGGAGAAAGCGTTGGAGAAGGCTCCTTCGAAGGAAAAAGGTGTCGAGGAGAGTGTGCCCAGTGATGATAAAGCTGACGGCGGTGACAAGAAAGCTAAGCCCAAAGAAACTGTTCCGGCCCCAGCTGACACAAGTAATACACCGGATGGAAGGGCAGTGGATGCAGCTCAAGTGACTGCCCCTCGGGCGGCGGTGGCACTTCAAGCGAACAGGCTGGAAAGGAGGCTGAGGCGATTGCCGAGCATTCTGCAGGGCCTGTTGCCGCAGC